ACCTAGCATGTGCGAGGCCCTGGGTTTGATCCTCAGCACCACGTTGAAAAAATAAATAAATAAAAGTATAAAAAGTTAAAAATAAATAGACAAAAAACAATAACAGCAAAAAAACAAAACAAAACAAAAAACAACAATCAGACCCAGAGCACACCTATAGTCCCACCCACCTGGGGGACTGAGGCAAGAGGACTGCAGCTGGGCCCCCCTCGGCTCTCCAGGAAGGAGAGGCTGGCCTTCCTCACCCACTGGGCCCCTCCATCAGTAGCCAGTCCCAAACTGGAGACCCAGCAGGGTGGGCCTGGGGAAGCTTCCTCCTCATGGACGGGGCTGTGGCCAGGTTGGTGCTCTGCGGCCACCGGGCGTCCCACACAGCTCCCACAGCCAGGGCCTGTCTCTCTGCCGGGCTGTCCCTGAGGAGGCCCTGGTTCCTGGCAGCTGTGGGGTTCAGGTCCCGTCTTCCCTTGGCTCCCGAGGGCCACCCTCTGCGGACGCCGGCCACTCCTCGGGCTCCTGCTGCCCCCAGCCAGAGTTGGCTGTGTTGGCTGCCAGGACAGGGACACGCTCCTTAGTCAGATCAGGGTCCCCACGGACCAGCCGAGATGTGACCTATCGGACCCACGTTCCCAGGGAGGGGCTGGATGGACACAGGCCCCAGGGGCCAGGAATCTTGGGCACCTTCTTAGTTCTGCCCACTGTGGACTGTGGAGCCCTTTACCTCTGTGTCCACATACTCCCTGACAGGTTCGCCCACCAGCCGTGCTCCCTTCCTGTGCAGACCCAGCCCAGGCCTCCTTTGCTGCCCTGCCATACAGGAGACCACCTCCTCGAGCCCCCTCTTCAGCCCTTGGAGCCCGTCCTTGGCCAGTCCAGCCAAGCAAGTGTCTGTCTACCTTGTTGGATACTTGCTTGTTTGGTACTCGCTCAGTGCACAGAATGATCAGCAGGGCCAGGCACAGTTGTGCACACCTGTAATCCCAATGACTAGAGAGGCTGAGGCAGGAAGATCCAAGTTCAAAGCCAGTTTCAGCAACTTCATGAGCCCCTAAGCAACTCAGTGAGACCCTGTTCAAAATAAAAATACAGGGGCTGTGGTTGTGGCTCAGTGGTAGAGTGCTTGCTTCCCACATGTAAGGCATTAGGTTCAATCCTCAGCACCACACACAAAATAAAGGTATTGCATTCATTTAGGACTAAAAATGTGTGCATATATGTATGTGTCTGTGTGTATGTATGTATATACATATATATATATTTGTGTGTGTGTGTGTATTTTTGGTACCAGGGATTGAACTCAGGGGCACTCAACCACTGAGCCGCATCCCCAATCCTTTATAGTATTTTATTTAGAGACAGGGTCTCACTGAGTTCCTTAGGGCTTTGCTGTTGCCAAGGCTGCCTTTGAACTCCTAACCCTCCTGCCTCAGTCTTCTGAGTCATTGGGATGACAGGCATGTGCCACCGCACCCAGCTAAAGAGATTTTTTAAAAATATGGGGGGTGGATTTTGGCTCAGTGGCAGAGTGCTTGCCTTGCACATGTGAGGCACTGGGTTTGACCCTCAGCACCATATAAAAACAAATAAACAAAATAAAGTTATTTTTAAAAATAAATAAATAAGTAATAAAAAATGGCTGGGGAGCTGGGTGAAAAAGTGGTGCAATCTATAATCCTAGTGACTTAGGAGGCTGAGGCAGGAGGATCACAAGTCCAAAGCCAGCCTCAGCAATTTAGTGAGGCCCTGAGTAACTCAGCGAGACCCTGTCTCTCAATAAAATATAAAAAAAGGGCTGGGGATGTGGCTCAGTGGTTAAGTGCCCCTGGGTTGAATCCTAGGTACAAAAAACAGAAACAAACAAAACAAAACCCAGAATGATCTGAAGAAACCAGCGTGAGGTTGCCAGCGGGGCAGGCCTGAGCGTTCTGCAGTGCTGGATGGTGCCTGACGCAGGCCTGGCCTGCAGTTGATGCCTAGTAAGTGCTTGCTGAATAAAGAACCCATGTGGGGCTGGGGATGTGGCTCAAGCGGTAGCACG